TATAATGATATTATATAATGATAATTAATATATAATGATATTATTATAGAGATCAGTGGGCTGTATGCATTCAGCAGCCGTTCAGCCGAGTTCGTGCGTGACGTCAGTGTACGTCACGACCATACTTTGCAACATGGAAACATACGCCCCATGCCGCCCGTCTGCTGCATTAGGACGCCATCTGTTGGCGAATTCCACCTACATCCAACGCGAATTCGGTTTAGCTGAAGACAAACTATTAACAATTTTAAAAGATCCCAGATGTTTTAACACATCTCAGCTCATCACGACGGTTCCCATGCCCATTTTGACAGTTTCGCGCGGTTTACGATCCACCCATCGACACATATTCCAACACATTGCGACACATTTCGCCCAGCTCACACACACACACAACACACATTACACACGCGACGCTGACACATTTCGTTGTTTTAGTAGATCCGCCCACAGGCGGCGGTGCGAACTGTCATCGGCTCATCGCTCACAACGATTCGTGCATTTTGTTGAATAATAGCACCTAGTGATAGTTAAAAACGCTAATGATTTTCGGATTTCTACACATATCTGCGATGATTTCCTTAACTACGACAGAAGCCGATCTCGTGTCATCAAGCAGCATGTTATTGACAAAATTATTGTGTGCGCGTAAGCAGTAGACCGGCGCTGTTGTTGGTGAGTTTATACAATTTCAAAACGGAAGTACACTGACGAGTCAAGTCAGTAAAAGTACATGTAAGGACAAAGCTAACAAATGTATCATGCTAGGTGTACTTCTCTACTGATGTTAGACAATATTAGTTATTACGCCTGCGTCCTTAATATTATAAGATAGTAATAAACTAGTAGTAGTAGTAGTAGTAGTCTGTATGAAGCAAAGAATCAAGATCTGCTTGTTGATACTGTGTTATTGTCAACTGTGAAATCCTGTACATTTCAAACGATCTTTTGGTTTTTCACGTCTTTCTATTTTTCTTTTGTGAACGTTAACGGGTAAGTTTATTACGTCCACCACCCACGCACACACGGTAACCATAGTACTTTGATCCCTAGACTAGTTCAAGTTGATTTGATCGTACACACAAACCGTGGCAGTAACGCAGCCGCACCATTTTAGTACATGCTTATTCATGATCAGAACGAGAATTGACAATGATAAGGAATGCTAGTCACTACTGACATGAACCCAATCATGATGTAATATATATCTATATTATATATTATATATATATATATATATATAGGATACAGACAATTGCTGTACCCATGTCATTGTCTGAGTCTCGGGTTTATTTTTAGGATCCCCTACACATGTATGGTAGGAGGTTAGGATTAGGGCAAGGTTTATGTTATGGTTATGGTGATGGTGTGGTATGTGTAATGATGATGATTGCATGGGGAAATCCTGCGCCTAGTTTGAGTTGTCTCATTGTGTTACAGGGTTCCCTGAATGATCTTCAGTAAGTTCTGTACTGGCCTTTGTTTCCTATTAAATATTTATAATTCACTTCACTAAATTGCCAGCTATTGAAAGTTAATCTTGTTTAGTGTAAACCTTTCATGTGTGAAATTCATGATGAATCTTAAGTAGACTACTCTCATTAAAAAACATAAAAGATTTGAAATTTATAGTAATTCAGTAGAGTAACATAGTTAACTTAATATAGAGTGTGGAACACCTGTAAACAAATCTTTGATCACCATCTTTGATGTAGGGCCTACGGTGGCTATTATATATTATTACGTCCAGTCTCCCCAGATTGTAGTAGTGATAACAGTAGACAGTCTCTAAGCAATGGAGGGCCCCTAAAACTCTTGTTAGTTGGATCACCTCCCTTCTCCCACCTCTTATGTAATCTGCTTTGTGTAGTCACTCACGGCCGTGAAATGCTGTTTGTCTTGTCTTTCTTTCATCACGGAAGTATATAACATGTGATTGTTCTTCTGAATGTGGTCCAGTAAATTAATCCTAATTGCCCACATAGGTCTCTAAGGACACACTAAGGTGACCTTTCTCTCGAATTATTGTTGGTAGAATTTATATCCACTTTCCTTTTCCCAAGTTAGGCGAGTGTAGCACGGTTGTTGATAATCGTGATGTCGGATAATGCGTAAATTGATGCACAGATTTCTGTGTATCATCAACTGATGCACAGACTTTCCGTATATTAAGGAATGATGCAAAAACCCTAACCCTATCCCTAACGTGATACCTAAGGTTATACTTTATGACTTAGGGTTAGGGTTACAGGGGCGGATCTAGGTTTTAACTAAGGGGGTGGTTTACCTGAGGTGATTGGCCTACACACCCCAGCGTGCCGAAGGCCCTTACTAGGGGGGTCCGGGGCATTAAACCCGTAAAGCATGCCCCCACCCCCCGGAAATTTTCGACACCCGACACTGGTTCTTTTTTATTTTTTTCTAAGTAGGCCTACATCACGATTTCACTGGGCAGCCCAAGGGGGGGTTTAACCCCTCCCCCCCCCCCCGTAGATCCACCACTGGGTTAGGGCTTTTGCATCATTCCTTGATATACGGAAAGTCTGTGCATCAGTTGATGATACACAGAAATCTGCGAATCACTTCGTGATACCTAATTGGTGCCTAAAGTGGATTTGCGCCGTTCGTAACTGCACAGTAGGTAATGTGATAGTGGCATATATATATAGTTGGCAACATCACAATCGCCCATCGTGGGTCGCCCCATCGACGTCATTGTAAACAAGTCTTCGGATGCTGTAGCCTGTATGGCAAACTGTTTAAATAAATAAATAAATGAATACGATTACCCTAACTCATTACGTCGTCTAACTTGTCAATTCTGGTAGTTAGCCTAATGAGTAATGTTAATTGTTTAGTTATACTGTATATGTTTTTACTCTAGACGTTGAATACTATATCTTAGCCCGACCAGGCTGTGCGACGGATTGTCTATATAAATGCTAAGTATTCTAATACTAATGCTAAGTATTCTAATCCTAGCAATACCGTTTCTTGGAGCTAACTATATCTATAATTTATAAATAAGCGCACATACCGAAACCATCTCTGCAAAGATGGGAGGATTTTTGTAGCAGACGAGACGATCTGACCAGCGTGGAAGACATGACGATCAACTAACTTACACTAATAGTTTGTCGTGTCAGCTTTACATGCCAAGTTTACCTACTAATCTCTACACTATCCAAACGTTTTTCATTCTTACAGAGCCCGACGATTAACATTTATGGGTTGTATTTTCAATCGTAGATTATACATAGTAGTTTTACTAAGTTTAGTAGTAAGTTTAGTAGTAGAGTAGTCCTAGCTGTAATATGCCAACTCCCAGTTACATCAGAAACAACTATTACTTCAGACTCAGAGAGAAAGATACAAAAGAGTGAAGTTAGGTGTGATCTGATTTACACTATATGCAGTGTTTCCCCTGCATTGACACGAGCAAGGCGGCCCGCTTCACTCAAATTCTCAGCAACCGCCACAGAAATTTGTCCAAAACACCGCATCGCTGACGAAACTTTTGACAACATGAAAAAGAGATTCAAGAGTCTCACACAATGTGTTCAGAATAGCTTAGAATGCACCAAATTGCACCATTTTTTCACAAATTTCCCGGAGCAGCATGCCCCGGACCCCTTAGCTTGGCCAGCACCTGCGCTGCTCGCTTTGCTAGGACCTCGAAACGAGCAAAAACATCACAAAAAAACATTTACCACCTCATAGACCTTTTTGGCCGGGGGAAAGACTGATATGAATGTATTTTTAGTCAGATATAGTATTAAACCATACCGTAATTAAATAATGCTGCTTGCATAGAAAATAACTGCATATATATACTTCTGTTGCAATACGAAGACTAGTTTCCTTCGCAATCCTGCGTCTCTGCAAAACTCGCTAATTGGGAGCGGATCGAATAACTTTCTATACAGCCGAAACTTTTACAAAAGCCATTTCAGAATACACCGCAAAGATCGCCATCGAAAAAACCGCCCTCATACATGATAAATATAGTTAGGAAAGTGCTTACCGTCTGCTGCATTAGGACGCCATCTGTTGGCGAATTCCACCTACATCCAACGCGAATTCGGTTTAGCTGAGACAAACTATTAACAATTTAAAGATCCCAGATGTTTTAACACATCTCAGCTCATCACGACGGGTTCCCATGCCCATTTTGACAGTTTCGGCGGTTTACGATCCACCCATCGACACATATTCCAACACATTGCGACACATTTCGCCCACTCACACACACACACAACACACATTACACACGCGACGTGACACATTTCGTTGTTTAGTAGATCCGCCCACAGGCGGCGGTGCGAACTGTCATCGGCTCATCGCTCACAACGATTCGTGCATTTTGTTGAATAATAGCACCTAGTGATAGTTAAAACGCTAATGATTTCGGATTTCTACACATATCTGCGATGATTTCCTTAACTACGACAGAAGCCGATCTCGTGTCATCAAGCAGCATGTTATTGACAAAATTATTGTGTGCGCGTAAGCAGTAGACCTGCGTGTTGTTGGTGAGTTTATACAATTTCAAAAACGGAAGTACACTGACAGTCAAGTCAGTAAAAGTACATGTAAGGACAAAGCTAACAATGTATCATGCTAGGTGTACTTCTTACTGATGTTAGACAATATTAGTTATACGCCTGCGTCCTTAATTATTATAAGATAGTAATAAACTAGTAGTAGTAGTAGTAGTAGTCTGTAGTGAGCAAAGAATCAAGATCTGTTGTTTGATACTGTGTTATTGTCAACTGTGAAATCCTGTACATTTCAAACGATCTTTTGGTTTTTACACGTCTTTCTATTTTTCTTTTGAACGTTAACGGGTAAGTTTATTACGTCCACCACCCACGCACACACGGTAACCATGTACTTTGATCCCTAGACTAGTTCAAGTTTGATTTGATCGGTACACACAAACCGTGGCAGTAACGCAGCCGCACCATTTTAGTACATGCTTATTCATTGATCAGACCGAGAATTGACAATGATAAGGAATGCTAGTCACTACTGACATGAACCCAATCATATATATATAGGATACAGACAATTGCTGTACCCATGTCATTGTCTGAGTCTCGGGTTTATTTTAGGATCCCCCTACACATGTATGGTAGGAGGTTAGGATTAGGGCAAGGTTATGTTATGGTTATGGTGATGGTGTGGTATGTGTAATGATGATGATGCATGGGGAATCCTGCGCTAGGTTTGAGTTGTCTCATTGTGTTACAGGGTTCCCCTGAATGATCTTCATAGTAAGTTCTGTACGGCCTTTTGTTCCTATTAAATATTTATAATTCACTTCACTAATTGCCACTATTGAAAGTTAATCTTGTTTAGTGTAACCTTTCATGTGTGAAATTACCATGATGAATCTTAAGTAGACTACTCTCATTAAAAACATAAAAGATTTGAAATTTATAGTATCAGTAGAGTAACATAGTTAACTTAATATAGAGTGTGGAACACCTGTAAACAAATCTTTGATCACCATCTTTGATGTAGGGCCTACGGTGGCTATATATATATACGTCCCAGTCTCCCAGATTGTAGTAGTGATACAGTAGACAGTCTCTAAGCAATGGAGGGCCCCTAAAACTCTTGTTAGCTGGATCACCTCCCTTCTCCCACCTACTGTATGTAGATCTCTTTGTGTAGTCACTCGGCCGTGAAATGCTGTTGTCTTGTCTTTCTTTCATCACGGAGTATATACACATGTGATTGTTCTTCTGAATGTGGTCCAGTAAATAATCCTAATTGCCCACATAGGTCTCTAAGGACACACTAAGGTGACCTTTCTCTCGAATTTATTGTTGGTAGAATTAAATATCACTTTCCTTTTCCCAAGTTAGGCGAGTGTAGCACGGTTTGATAATCGTTGAGTCGGATAATGGTTAGGTGAGGTCTTTGCTAATCCGAAATCTCGTGTTTATCGTTTACGACTGTAGCAGGAGACATGTAGGTTTAATACATGGGGATTAGCTGGTGCAAGTTTTGTTGATTGAAACCATGTCAGAATTCAGATGCACTTTCCCTGTTGCCGACTTTAGAATGCCTTGAGATGAATAGATGAATAGATAGATAGATTATATAGGATGGGATGGGATGGATGGATGGATGACTGGATGGATGGATGGAAGGTTGGATGGATGGATGGGTGGATCAAAAAATTAATGGATGGATTGATGGATGAATAAATGGATGGATGGATGTATGAATAAATGGATGAATGGATGGAGGGATGGGTTGGTGGGTGGATAGATAGACGGACGGATCGATGGATGGATGGATGGATGAAAAAATGGATGAATAAATTGATGGATGGATGGATGGATGGGTGAACGCATGAATGGATAGATTGTATAGATGGATGGATGGATGAATAAATGGATGGGTAGATGGATAGGTGAGTGGCTGGATGGATGGATAGATGAACGGACAAACGGATCGATGCACAGCCAGATAGATAGATGGCCAGGTACCTAGCTCGATAATGGGCTCATCGCTCATGATTATTTCATACCATCATCACATCTCCAGCACAGCGTTGCCACAGGTCGACCGATCGGTTGCTTTTTCAGGCGTGAGATGGCAGCACGGGGCGGCAGCGGGGGCGAGGATGATGGGGTCGCGTGGCTCTACGACCTCCTCGCGGAAGTGCAGCTGGAGCAGTTCTTCGTCAAGATACGCGACGAGCTTCAGGTGCGTTGCCGACGGCGACCGCGACGATGTCGGATCGTGCGACGCATTTGCTGCCGTTGCATTGCGACCTCGAGTCTTTATAAGTTCGCGGTCGTACGCGAATCTTAAATTTTGTCAGGGGGTAGGAACCTATACATGTGGCATGCCTTGACATTTTCCCTCCAAACTGCAGCGAAATCCACCCGAATGGATTATTTGATTATTATTAAATCTTGATTGCATGTAATTCAAATACAAATACATATAATGAACAGACAGTGGCACCATCTGTTGGCGCCAGTTTTCACGCGGCGCGTTCACTTGTCTTTCCCTCCCGCCACCAGGTGACGCGGCTGTCGCACTTCGACTACGTAAAGCCGGAAGATCTGGAGAAGATCGGGATGAGTCGTCCGGGCGTCCGCCGCCTCATGGACGCCGTGAAGAAGTGCAAGGCCGCGGGACGCAGGACGTGGGTGGCAAAGGTAGGGGGCGCCGCGGGTCGCGGGACATGGGTGGCGAAGGTAGGGGGCATCGCGGGATGTGGGTGGCGAAGGTAGGGGGCGCCGCGGGTCGCGGGACATGGGTGGCGAAGGTAGGGGGCATCGCGGGATGTGGGTGGCGAAGGTAGGGGGCGCCGCGGGTCGCAGGACGTGGGTGGCGAAGGTAGGGGGCGCCGCG